TTGCCTTAGTTCCTTCGTCAAAATAAAGTCCCAACTCTAGAGTAAAGTGGGAGACAAAATGATCCCAGAGGCTATTTTGACACTGGATTTCATGGAAGTGATGCCCATAGGCAGCTGGGGCTAAGAGTGACACCAACACGTGGACCTATTTCAGGACTGATACGAGCCTAATGCTTTCCATTCAGCCACATGACCTCTGTTGACCTCGGTGGACAATAAATTTGTGAACCAATTTTAAGAACCACTGTTGAAACAGGTTTCAGTGTTCTGAGGCCTAATAACATCTATGAACTTTGGTACCTGATATTTTTCAGTGGGTTTAAATCCAAAAGCCCTAAGGTTCTTAAAAGGTTCAGATAGAAGATTCTTTTATCTGTGTCTTGAAAGCTATAATAGAGAGAACTGAAATATAACACATGATCTGTGACCTGAGGGGAAAGGGGTCCTTTTGCCAAGTTTCTTGCATATTCCCTTAAAAGCGACCAGGGAATACAGTGAGAGAAACAGCTTAGTTCTAACTAGCACCTAATGGGTAGGAACACCAGATATTTATCTTGTGAGTGCTTCGAAAATGGCTCAGATCTTTAACCACTACACTGCCAGAAACATGTATGTGCCCTTCGTATCACAAGAATAACTGACCAGTGTTTGAGCATCATGAATGTGGCCTTTCGACTTTCCAAATTATGCAAGGATATTTTCTTTGACCTTCCCTTATTACAGAGCCATAAAAACGACACTGCTTTGTTCAGGCAACTCAGGACACATGGTACCACATGCTTGTGCAGAAATACATCCCACATTAAATTAAGTTAGAGGTGGTATTTGAAAAATAAATAAATAACGGAGTTCCAATTCACTGCAAATGGTACAGGAGGCCAGTAAGTGGGAAGCCTGCAAGAGAAGGGCTTCTTTTAGAAAGATGTTTTACAGGACTTTTTCTGCATCATTAACTCTTCTGGAATCCTGAACATAACATGATGAATTTCCCTAAAGAAGTAGCTACTGTTTAATTTTGAATCACTTCAAAGAGCCACAGTCGAAGAAATCAAAGAAAACCAAAAAGACCAGTAGATCCGAAATTCGCCAAGGGAGAAAAAAAACATGAAGGTTCTAACAGATTTTGACCATGTACTGAAAATACTACTGATTATTTTGCTAATACAGTGTTTTACTGTTCCATGCGACTGACTGAAATAAGTCTCTGTATTCATAGGAACACAGGATATTTTTATTACAATATTTGTGTCATAGTTCTTTAAAAGGAACATATTTTAAAACCTTGAAAAGAATCTCTGTCTTAAAATGGCTCTTGATGTATATGTATGCGAGTGTGTGTGTTATACTATAAACAGATACTTAACTAGAGGTCATATTGCTGAAAAAAGTAAAAAAAAAAAAAAATACTGATAGTTTTACTCTAATCCCCAACATATAGCTTTTAGAAGAGAAACATAATTTTTAAAAAGCAAAGCAATTTGGAGGGTGGAGAAAAATAAGAAAGTTGGCTGGGGTATTATAATAGTTGTTTAGCTTTAATAATAATAATAATAATAATAGGTCTTTAAAAATGTCTTTTGTGCAAAAGCTTTTGTGCAAGGCAAAAGAAAGAAAACCTCCTAAAAATTCCCTATCCCCAAATACCACTATATCAAAAACCATCTGGAAAATGTCTGATAATGGTATCCGCCCACCTCAGAAATTCAGCAAACTTTGTCTTCAATTACCATTTAGAATAATCAACTCAAATTGAAATTTTGATTTGAAAACCCTGAGAAGACACAGCTGGATCAGGAATCAGATTTTCAAAGTCTCCTGACAAGACCATCAGTATATGAGACGCTCTTCTCACCGCCCACCTCATCCTCGCTCTGCACCGTAAGTTCACAGCCGAATTTAAAGCCATACACACATGGCTACTATGAAGTCTAGTTACCACATATTCATACAAGTTCTGGGCTTGAATCAAGTTTCCCTTGTTATATAAGCACTTAGGGGCAATAAAGTTTCACTGACATCTAGCAGCTTTGTGAGTCTCAAACATTAGTCTACCTGACTGTACAACCCTTTTATTGACAGAGGAGAGCACTGGTATTTTATTTACATTGATCATATTGTCGATGCTGTATGGAAGAACCGTTTACAAGCCTATTAGCCTGTAACATTTTTATTACTGTTGTTAAATATCAGTACCCACACTGAACTCTGTATTAGAAAAATCAAGTTTGAAAAGGTAAATATCCAGAAAGAACTCCAAAGCTGCTGCTTTTCTTCTCCCCATGTAATCTGTAGGCTCTGATGAGAAGAAAGAAAAACAATGAGTATTCACTTCTCACAGACAGAGGTCACTAATGGACTGAAGTTGAATCACTGTGGCAGTAACCACAAAGTTATTAAAGTAATCTAGTGAAAAATGAACTTGAATTGAAACAAGAGAAAAGATACCAAAAGATGATTATCCAGGAAGGTATGACCTGAATAGAAATAAAATGACACCACCTTGACCTTTTTAGAATCTCCTACACAGAAAGCAAAACCACTGGCACCCTTGCTGTTTTTTAACTTCAGAAACCACTGATCTGAGAAGCAGAAAATTTTCCTTGTAAAATACAAAGCTGAAGACTCAAACTAGATCAGACGTTCACGCTGGGCCTCCACAGCTTAAGACTTCTGGACTTGCGTGTACTTGAGCCTTTTTTGAAACCACAGCTTCAAACTGGAAAGATATAGAGTTGCTTGAGGGAGATATGTCTGAATCCTAAATCAAACTCTCCAGCAGGCCAGAATATCAATGTAACAGGCATCAGAGGAGTTTCAAATTAGATCCAGCAGGACAAAGTCAAACTCGGATAAGATCACAGCATCTGAAACCCAGCGCACAGGAATAAACAGGGCTGTCTTGGGGACGCCAAGGCGCCCAGCATGGTGTCATTTGGGAATCTACTTTCTCCTGTCAAAAGCAGCCCCTGAAATTTCTAAAACTGCAAGGAAACTACTGAAGTGTTAAGAGGGGTATTAGAAAAAGAAAAAACAGCATTCTTTCCAGGCTAGGTTTGTTATAGGTTCTGCTACTGTACAGCTAGCCCAATTCGTTTTACAATGTCTCATACCCACTGGCAGAGACATGGAATCATGTTTGAAATTTCATCTCCAGCCTTCACCAGTCACAGATATTTGCAACTCAACATGACAGGATGGTGTTGCACTGTCAACGGTGATTATTAGAAATCCTTACATGGTTTAACCCTATCCTGTTTGGGGCTTCTGAGGAAGGGAAGAAGAAAAGTTGCATTCTGGGGAACAGTAACATAGTGGGGAAATAAACAACTTTTCATGATGTGCGTATTACCCAAGGATTCGTTCTCTTCTAATATGGTGGCCTGTCAATCTTATGGACCTGAAGTGTGTTGCCTAGTGATTTATTTTTTAAAAAAAGCAAAACAAAAAAAAAACCAAAAAACCAAAAACACGAAACAGAAGTCCCGTTCTAACACTATAGGTACTGACCTAAAATTTTACATTCATACTGCAACCACCAAATATATCCCTGGACAAATGCCAAGCTGCATTTTATTTACCTCGAAATGTTTAGGGGATCCTTTCACTGGAGATTTAATAAGGCCATACGCGCTAAGTCCACAGACAACATCTTCCGGATATGGAAGCTAGTCTTCCTATTAGCTTTTGGTAGGGAGAAGTTAGACGTAATAAATTTAGCAATAAGCCCCAGGGAGAGTGGACATGCCCCAAAGCTCCCTGAAGCCCTGCGTGATGAAAGAGCCTCCCAGCGGAGTGGGGAGCAATAGATCCCATTTAGAAGAGGCTTTGCATAGCAAATGCAGCATGTAAAGAAATCTAATCAGCACCTTGCACTCCTGGGCGAGCATTTACACGGATTTGTGCCTGGCACTTGATTAGCTTACTGTAAGCTTTACAAGAGAGTCCCTCCACTAAAATTAATCAAAAGCTCTTAGAGACTGATTTCCATTTGCAAGAGAAGGCACGATGAGTTTCCAGGTGAATTAATAATGATCCTAATAAAAATGATAGCAGCAGCAAACGTTGAGCCGCTTGGAAACTCAAAACTCGACTGGGAGAGAGGGGACGTTGGCGTAGCTGGGGCTGGAATCTTTTCTTTCTCTGAGTGAACAGCAAGAAGCTATTTTCTTAGCCCAAGTAAGGCTGCTGTTCGGGAAACGTTGACTGTTTTCTCTCTGCTGCCCCCTCCTCAGGGCACAAACTGGACTACTCACCACCCCCACCCCCAGCAGGACGGCGCATCAGGCCACTGAGGATAAATCAACCCCTCCGCAACACTGTTAACAACGTTCCCCTCCCCCCCCCACAATACACACACGCACTGCAAATTCATGTCGCCAATGGTTAGTGAGTTTGAGCTCACCCTTCAATCAAACTGTGACTTCTAAAGTTCCTATTTTATGACGCCAGAAGGTGAATGCGAGGAGGGAGGACCCCGGGGGTGTCAAAAAGGGGAAGCGTAATTTTTCCCCGTTCCTTGAAATGTTCACACACACCTCCCCGCCTCCGCCCCCACCCCCCTTCGCTTTCCTGCACCATCTAAATTCGGTGGGCGAATGCGAATGGGTTCGTATCACTCTTTAAATATGCTAAATAAGAGAGGGTCAGGGTGGAAGAGAGTGAAATCCACCCATCATTTCTCTGGGTATAAGAATACTAAAAGCCCCTGAACCCACATTCTAAATTCCCAGCGAGCTACAAGATCAGGCACCAGCTGGGGCCGAGGGTTCTCATCCATTCCCTGGAGAGATTCGCCTCGCTGCACAGCTGCCCACCGGGCGCTGAGATGCACCACGGGCCAATCTAACGTTACTGTAGACCTCCCGGCGCTAGGCTGCCATCCCCGGGAACTTCGCCTCCCTCTTACTTTCGGCCTGATCTGGAGAGGTCAGAAAGGTGCTGGCAGGGAGCACGAGCCCTGCGGAGGGGCACGGAGAGAGGGGGTTGAGGGTGCTTGTTACCTGCAAAGGCTCTCGAGGTATCCTTCTAGCCCTGGTGTTAATCCCGCTCAGCGCCGCGTCCTCCCTCAGCTCCAAACTTTTGCTCGGTCCTCCGGGTGGCGGCAGAGGCGACGGTGGCGGCTGCCGGAGCCCGGCCCTGTCGCCTGCAGCGTCGGGGCGCGGGGATGCGGAGGCTGGAGCCTCAGAGCGGCGCGAGCCTCCCCGCAGCCGGCTGGCGCCCGGGCGCCCCACTCGCCTCGCTCGCTCTCGCCTTTCTCCCCTACGGAGCCGCGGCATCGTCTTCCCCCGTCCTCCGCCACCTCCGCCTCCAGGGCTCGGGCATGCCACTTTCTCTTGGCTCCGGCCGCCGCGGCCCCCGCCCCTTCTGCTCCTCTGCCTCCCCCTCTCCGCCTCCGCGGAGCCAACGAGTCCCGAAAGAAAGAGGACGAGCGGGGAAGGCGGTGGAAATCTGCCCCGTCGTACTGAGGCTCCTCTGAGACGGAGGACCCCGAGAGACGTCTGGAGAGCCGGGCGGGCGCGCCTCCGACGCCCCGGTGCCGACCGCGCGGAGCCCGGAGTGGGGTGCTGCGCGGGGCTCGCTCTCTGTGCTGCGTCGGTCCCGCGTGGGTCCGGAGGCTGCTCCGACCTCACTGCTGCCTGGATCCGACGCGGCCGGGCTATGTAGGCGCCGCGGCCCCCACCCCCACCCCTCCTGACACCCCCGGGAGATGTTTACAGTAATGAATTCGCGGGATCGCCTCCGCCGCTCCTGCGCTCCTCCACTCCCTCGTCCCTCGCGCTCTGGCGCGCTCCCTAACTCCAGCCCTCTTTCTCTCCCTCCCTCTTTTACTCCCGCCCTCTCCGAGTCCCTCCCACATTTCTGGTTTAAAGAATGCTTGGGAGGCGCGGCCGCAACCCAAAGCTTTCCAAGAGGCGAAGTCAGGCTGGGCTCTTAACCCTGTCCTCCCTGAAACGAGTTGCGGAACGCCGGGGCTAACACCGGGTGTGCCGCTCCGACCCTGCGCGCCGCCTCCTCTCTTCGTACCGCGCACCATCCCGCCTGCCTCCCCAGCTTTTACGGATAATCTCCCCATCCGAAAGCTGAAAGTCAATTTCCTCTCTGCCCACTTGATGTTGTACTTCCAAGCCTGGGGGTCTATTACTTAGACATTGAGAAATGATGGAAACGTGAGATTAGAGGGTAAAAATATTACAAGGCTCTCAACCAAGATGGCGTTATGTCAAATGCAAGCAATCTTGCTGATGTGCCCCCTCCCGCCCCCCACCACTAGTTCCCTGGTGTCGGACCTTCTTATGTAATTTTAATTGGGAATATAAGCAAAAATTCAATATGGTTATTGTAAACACCCCATTTTGTCCCTTCACCCTGGCAGCGGGAAAGAGCGTTGTTCACTTTCCCCATTGATTACAACGGACAGATTAAGCCTCAAAGACTTAGAAAACAGGATTGACACCTAAAGAAAACTGATTTGTAAACAGGGAAGGTTTCGCTCGCGATCTCTTTGTAAAGGTGAAAGAGTAACGTAAGACGACCAGGTGCATGTCTCTTTCTTGGGGGGAAAAAGGGGATTCTGGTTTTCTCCTCTCATTTCATTGCCGCTGCTCCTGCCTCCAGTAAGTTACTGTCATGTTCTAACAAGTCTGTAGAGAGGCCGAATCTGAACAGAAGAGGGAGAACGAGCTCGCGCCAACCGCTGAGCTGCGCTCAGACGCGCCGTCGGTGGGGCCCGGCCAAAAGCACACCCGAGAGCTTGAAGCTGGCTCAGGACCAACTCCCTACGAAGCCGCTCGGCCAGCGCGGCAGGAAAGTTAGGCAGGAGCAGTGACCACGACAGGCCCAGGATGATTTCCCCGTCCTCGGTTCACAGCCTGAGTCACTTGGCATCACTTTCCCAGTTGTTTTTATTCCCTTCGCATCCCTGTTGGGTCAACCGCCTTCACGTATTTGAGCGCCTAAATTGTGTTAAGACGTTTGGAAAAACGCCCCATTTTCCTCCCCAGCACAAGCCACGCACGGATCACCCAGACGCACGCCGGAGACGCCAGCCGGCACAAATGCACACAAGACCGGGGTTCGTGCCCGCTATTCGCTCTTCCTGTTACATTATGCAAAGGTGGATAGAGCAATGCTTTGGCTGACTTATTTATAGCCGCTCTTCTCCCCAAACTCAGTGTGTGACTAATACCCGGAGGAGGAGGGAGAATGGCTGGGGGAGTTCATTGGACTAGAGCAAACAGTAAGTGCCATCTTGCTAAGAGGCACTAGGAGCGAAGCGCCAGCGACCACACTAGCAGTGGCCTCCGCCTCCAACCGCGTCTGCTGCCGGACGGAACCCCACGCGCTTCAGGAGTTTCCCGGGCATCAAGAGTGAATCCAGTCACCCTCTTCCCCGACACTTCCTTTCCCTGGCTGGTGCCCCGACTTCAACTGGCAACCTTGATCTCGCGCCCGATTACAAAAGAAAAGTGTCCGCGCCGGTGCTGAAAGCGCAGGGACCAGCGCGATCTGATCAGCACAGCGGAGGGATCATTCCAGCCGGCTCCAAGCCCTCGAGAGGACGCGAGACAAGCGGGCACGGCTCTGCTCCCGCCCTCCTCACAGACGCCTTGCCCCTTCACTCAGCGCCTCGACACGTTGCCGCCCCCTCCCCGCATCCCACGCGCGCGGCACAGAGAAAACACTCGGGTTCGGGCTGGTTTGCTACCCGCGCCTTCATAACCCCCTTTGATGCGCGGTAAGGTTGCTTAGTGCCCAGCCCAACACCAGCAGGGCTGGAGAAAGGCTTGGTTTGGGGGGGAAGTAACCCCCTCCCTAACTCGAAGGAAAAAGAACTAGCATTTCGCCTCCACCCACCCCCCCACCCCTCTGCCCCCCTGCCCCCCGCATCTCTTAGCCAACTAATAGATCCAGGATTTCGGGCAGGGGGCGTGCTGGTGACTTTAGACCCCAGCTCTTAATAATAACGCTGGTGACATTAACGGCAGATGGAGTGGGCGCGAGGGTGGGGGAGTCGGCGAAACGCTACTCCTAGAAGTTAACAGATTCATTCAGGGGAAGTGAAAGGCAGATATTGGCAAGTTTGGTGGCTTTAGAAAACCCAGTTCAGAATGATGCTCCAGCAGGTTAAAAATTTTGCTTTTTGACTCAGAGTTTAGCTAACATAACTCCTTAGCGGACATGGATTCGACCTGAAAAGAGACCTCCCTAAAGTCGTGGGTGAATTAAGCGTTCTGTTCTCTCTGGATGAAAAATAAAGACTGAAACATCCCACCCACCCGACGAACACCCCTGCTGGTTAACTGCGCCCACCCCCACCCCGAGACCGCGCGGTGCCCGCGTACTGGCAGCCCTGGCAGTTACTGGAAACTCCACCTGGCACCTCAGCCCCTTTACCTGGTGTCCGCGTCTCCCTGCAGTGGGCTCATCCGAATCCGACAGGGTCGGGGAGATGGAAAGGGAAGAAGCTGGCGCGGCAGCAGCGGGGCTCCCGGGGCATGGTATTGTTTTAGGGGTCGCCGCCAAGGTCCCTCCTGCCCATCGTTGAGAACTGCCAACCTGGTCCCGGGCTGGGTGGACACGGGGGCCGGCGCGGAGCTGCTGCCTCGCCGCTGCTTGACACCCGGGACCGCAGGCCAGAGACGCACCACCGCGGTAGCAGCTCAGCGCCGTGGCGTGATTTCGGCCACGGCTGTTATCTTGGAGCACTCCTTCCTCTGCGGTGGCAAAGGAAGATGCCAAAGTCGAAAGTGAGGGCGACAGGTTTCGAACGTACAACTAACTACGAGGTACCCAGCAGGAGACACTAGGCTGCTTTCCCCCTCCCCGTCCCTCCCTCCTACGGGGGAGGGAACTAACTTAACCCTGTGTGCGCCCTACACTCCCCGGAGAAGCTGGATTCGGCTAGAAAACCGCACGCAGCGGTTCCCCGGGCGAGAGCTTTGTTCACGTGCGTTTCCAGTTGGGTGTGTTGCTGTCCGGGGCGCTCGCGTGGCAAGACGCCAAGGGCCGCCCTCCAGCGCCAGGCTCCGGCATTGGAAGGAGCCCTAGGCTTTCATCCGGACCAGATTCGGCCCTCGGAATCTATTTTTTGCTTCCAGTTACCAGATTTATTGAAGTTGTCAGGGAAGTTGGGTTCTATTTCTTTATTTCAGTCCCCCACCCACCCACGCCGTCCCCGTATTAGTTCCTTTCCTGGTGGCGCTTTGAAGATGTGGAACTCTCCGATCGTTCCGACTCTAGCTTTTTAACGGGTTTGAGTGTGCTAGAGGGATTGTGTAAGGAACCCACCTACCCACGCCAAATTTAGATGAAACAGCAAAGAAAGCTGCCTCCCACCCAGTGCCCGCCTAAGCTAAAAGACCACATGTTCAAATAAGACAAGACACCGGAAAATGCGGGAGGAGTCGGAGTTGAGGGAGTTTGCAATGTGACTAGAGAGCTGGACAGGTTGGAGGGCGGCAGAGACAGCGGCACTGAGTCCTAGAATGGCAACATGGGGGGAAACACACGCAGCAGTGACGATGCAGAAAATAGATCTCAGCCCCAACACTGAAAGCAGAAGGTCAGCTTTAAGAGCTTAGGTTTTGATCGCTTTCATTCCCCCAGCTCCTTTGGAAGCGGTTTGGGAAAAGAAGAAGAAAAGAAAAGGGAAAAAAAAAAAAAAAAAGAACACAGGAGCCTCGTGCCTTGGCCACCCAGATGCTTTGCATTTTGTGAACAGCTTCAGTTAAGTCTGGACTCCCAAGCAGTTAACTGGAGTTGGAGACGAGGCATCTCCTGGGCGCGGAATAGAAGCTTAGACCGTACAAAACTGATGGCCCAGCGCCTCAGCTGTCACCGTCACAGCCAAATGAGCCAAAACGTCGCCCAGAGCGCAAACTCAGACATCTCTTGCCAATTCCTTCTTTCCCCATCCCCACTCCGGACTAAAGAAAGAAGGAAAGAAATACCGAACCTTAAAAATAATTCAGAGGCTAACACGTGGATCTGGCGGAAAAGAAATTATTTTAAAGAGAGAAAAATCCGTGTATCCACCGGAAGATGCTTTAATTTCTCTCTGCAACATGTCCAAGCCAGTGGCAATCTGTAACAGCGATTTCAAACGCCTGCGAGCCAGGCCAGCCCACAGAGGCGGTGGGAAGGAGCGCCGTTCCCAGCCTGCCGGGTGCAGAATTCCGCTGTAAGTCCTTCTAGTTTGCCAAGGGGGCAGCAAAGCATAGGGATAGCTCCTCGGGCTGCAGCATCAATACGGAAGACCACGTTTGAGGACAAACACTCACAATCGCCTGTTTTTAAGCATTCATCTTCTGCGTGTGTGTGTGTGTGTGTGTGTGTGTGTGTAAGTTACATAAGTATCCACACGAGGCTCTTTCTTTGGTACCTTGATCTGAGATAACAGTTTAATTATTTCATCGTTCAGAATACATTTTTTGTGTGTGTAAAGGCAAAACAGAACTCGTACAGGTTTAACCTTCTGATTTATGTTCCCGGAAAATGAATAAGACTGAAAAAAAGGAGAGGGAAGGGTTGCAAATGTACAAAATTTGCCTTTTATTATTTTCTGTTCCAAAATTATAAGGAAACAATGTCATGTGGATATGCTCCCTATTCAAAATTATTGGTGCCACTGTTGTGATCAGGACAAGGAAAATCGAGTATGGAAAAACATCTCATCCAATTGATGAACAGAATCACTGTAACAAATTTCTCATTCACATGACCTGTGAGTCAGCTTTACAAATGGGTGATGTTGGGGCCGGAGGAA